GCGGACGTGGAGGAGCGGTCCGCGCGCCGCCACAGTGCAAATCCCGGCAAAACCACACGGAAGCCAACCGGAGAGGCCAAACGCAGCGGCGCCTCGCCCCGCGTGGGAAAGGCCGTTCCGTTGTTTTCATATTCTGGTTAGCTTTTTGTTTCCACAGACACCCCCCACCCACCACCCGCTTATTACAGTGTAAAAATAATTTTCCAATAAATCAGTGTCATCTCCTCCTGCATCACTGTCATGTCTGGGAAGATGCCTGTCCCCTTACGGATGCACCTCCTCTAAGAAAACTCGCTTTATTGTTTACCTTCAAAACCAAAACAAAACCCACAAGATTTAAAGGCCAAGCCTTGGCTGCCACCCTCTCTTAGTGACACATTTTAAGTGCCCAAGCAAAACAACAGTCCCAAACACACCGTCATCCCACCCTGGCCTCCGGGCTCTAAATCCTTCTGCGGCTGTAAATCCTGCACCACAGGGCCTTATCCATCTGTCACTGAGCAGCAGGTGGTTCGAACGCCTGGCTTTTAGGTTAGCAACCCAACCCATAACATGTTGTGTTTGGTACTTGAAAACCATTGCAAACCCCATTTTTCAAAAAGCCATAAAAACGAAGAAAAGTTGTTAGTTCTAAAGCCAGAAACCCCATTTTGTTTCCTGAGTGCTCAAAACACTGTATCAATATATCAGTATATCCTTTTATTCAGCATGAGATTGTGAACTCAGATTAGTAAATACACGAGCGAAAGCCCAGGTTAATAATGACTAGGGAGAGGAAACTCAAGTTAGTAATTCGTAACCGCGGAGAAAAAGCACAGGTTAGTAATAACTACAGAGAGAAAGCCAACTCTAGGATGTTTTCAATCACTTGTGATCACAGAAAGTCTTAACTACGGAAAGGGCACAGAGACCAGCAGAGCTTTAAAGACATGGGTGAGCCCTACTGGCAAAAAGCTGGGCAGCAATCGTGAAGGCCCGCAGTTCGAATCCACCAGATGTTCCGCTGGAGAAGGAGGGGCAGTCTCCTCCTGTGCCAGTCGGATCAGACTCGATGGTACACAACAAGAAAAAAGTGTTGAGAATATATATTAAGAAAAATTTGACGAGTAGTCACTAAACAAGTATTCTGGGGAGAGTGAAGGAAACCAAGGACTCAGGGAAGAAATGAGACCAGAAGGCGAATGACCCACAGGAGCCACAGCGTCTTCTAGCTTAAGACCGAACTTGATGGTGCCCAGCTGCCACCATTGAGCGTTCTGACCAAGGATACCTTTGAAGGTCCTGGTTGGAATAAGAGAGAAATGCGAAACAAAACTCAAATTCATACAAAAACAAAGGTCCCCTAGACTTGCTGGACTAACAGAGATGAGAGGAACAATTCCTAGAGCTTATCCCATAAATATACCCTTTTAACCAAGAAGGCAAGGCAGGACGGAGAGACTGGCAGATGGCATGGAGATGGTGGAGGTGCTGACAGGTTGCAGAGGTGGGGACTGAGGCCATGGAATTCTTGGCATGTGATTTACTGAACTTCCACTTGAAGCACAGCAAAATAGATAAAAAAAATACCAAAACTGTTCAGAGAACAGGGAGTACACCTCCAGAGAAGTGAGCTCCTCACATTATGATTATATATAATTCGTTTATATGCCGTACAGACTGCCAGGGAATTTCCCAAAAGGAGATGCTACGGGTTGACTTATTAAGTTGGCTTGTCTGCATTTCGCCATCTAGTTAAGGCTTATCTAATTATTTAAACTCGCCAGTACTGTTTTTTCCAGTTTTTACTTTGAGGAGGAGTTAAATTTAAAGAGTGGGAGAAGGACTTTCTTTAAGAAAATATAAAACAATACTTACAATTTCAACTTTTACACATACAATTCATTAACATTTGTTATGTTCACCTTGTTGTATGACCATTGATGTTTCCCTGTCAGCTCTTAGTAAAAACTCAGTGCCCCCTTAGCAAGGCCTACTTCTCTTCTCTGCCTGTTTGACACTGGAGCCGCTTATCAACTTTGGTCTCCATGCATTTCTTTATTTTAGATATTTCATATGTGTGGGAACATAAAATATTTGTCCCTTGATGACTGCTTTACTTCACTCCCCATAATGTTTTCAGCATTCACTTATTTTGTAGCATGGATCAGGACTTCTTTTTGTTGTTGTTGTTGTTGATTGCCTTCCAGTCAAGCACGACTAACAGTGACCCTATGAACAAAAGGCCTGAAGCCCCTGCACAACCATCAACAGTTATCAAAGTTTATAGAGTTTCCAGAGGCATGTTGTTTAGGAGGTGGATTGCATTGTTAACATGTGGCACATTCTTTGTATCCATTTATCTGTTGGTGGACACTTGGGTTGTTTATACTTTCTGGCTTTTTTGCATAGTGCTGCAACCGCCACTGATGTTTGTGCTCCTGTTTCCAAGTCTTTGTGGCATACACCTAAGTGGGATGGCTGAGTCATGGGGTAGTTTTTAAGGAACCTCTGAACCTTTTTTTATGGTGGGTGAACCATTGTACTTCCTTACCAGCAATGAATGAGGAGTCCAATGTCATCACACCTTTGACAACAGTTCCTTTGTTAAAATAAATTATAGCTATCTTAGAGGGTGGTGAGGTGATGAAAATGTAACTCATTCCTCTCAAGTCAGAACCAACTCATAGCTGACCCACTAGAGGCTATAATTCACATGAGAAGAGACTGCCCATCTTTCTCCTGAGGAGCCACTGGTGCATTTGAACATTCAGAGAAGCACACAGCCTTTGGATTAGCTGCTCAGTTCCCATTGGGCAAGACCACCAGAGCTCCCTAAAATGTATATGTTGTTGTTGTGTGCTTTTGAGTCAACTATGACTCATTGCAACCCTATGACTAATAGTTCTGAACCCTGCCCTGTCTTGAGCCAGTCTCACTGTCTCTGACACACCTACCCCAGGACCCCAGTTACTGTGCCAATCCATCTCATCCAGGGTCTCCTTTTCCTGTGCTGACCCTCTACTCTTCCAGACATAATAACCTTTTCCAAGGACTCGTCCCTCCTGACAATATGCCCAAAGTATGTGAGACAGAGTTTCAAACTCCTTGCCTCCAAAGAGCAACCCACCTTTACTCTCTCCAGGACAGACCTGTTTGTTTTATTGGTTGTTCATGCTATGTTTAATACTCTTCTCCAGCACCACAACTCAAAGGCATAGACTCTTCTTATGTCAAATTTAGTCATTGTCCACCTCTCTAATGTGTAGCGAGTAATTGCAGAGACCATGTGTCAAGAAGACAAAGATTCTCACCACTGGGCCAGTTGGCAGCATCAGGATGGATGGTGAAGA